TAAATAAATAAATAAATAAATATTTAAAAAAAAAAAAAGCTTTATGCATAGTAGATAAGCACTGTACCACAGAGCTGTATCCTCAGCCTAGCAGTTAAGTTATTAATTTACAAAACAATGGGCCATATTGGCTCTTCTTATGCACAGTAGCTATGTAAGTAGTAGCTAAGATAGTAATAAAGCAATTCAGATGATTTTATATTTTTCTCATTAAAGTATCACTGTTTCATATAAAGTATTATGACTGCTCAGCAGTTTATTCAGTAAAGGTGTGTTACGTGGCCAAGTTTAGGCGTAGTCACTGACCATACACGTAAGGTGCTCCTAATTGCTGTGAAGGAGAAGAAAACCACAGGCCGGCAGGCAATGTCCTGGAGGTGGCCTAAGTGACCTTTTATGACTTGTGTGCTTTTTTTGTGGTACCAGGGATTGAACTCTGGACCTTGCAATTGCGAAGTAGGCACGTATGCTGCTGAGCTATCTCCCTGGCCCTTTGTGTGCTTTTTTCGGTTGAGCTCTTTGTCTAGATTTCCATCTTATTGCTGGCAATGTTTGCCAGTGTTACTGACCACGATGCTACAGAGTCTCTGTTCACCAGATAAAAATCAATGGAATACTTCTGTGCAGGGCCATCATATACACCTGTCCTCTTGCTTTTTGTTCACTTTTCTAAGGTCAGAGCAAGATGTAAAGCCCAAGCCAGTGGATGCTACTGACCCTGCTGCTCTCATAGCAGAGGCGCTGAAGAAGAAGTTTGCTTATCGGTATCAAAGCAATAGCCAAGCTGAAGTAGAAATAGGAGTTTCAAAGTCTGAATCAGAGACCACCTCAGAGACAGCATTGGTGCGTATTGGCTGAGATTCTTCCCTGTTGTGTGGGAGTGCACCCCATAAGTGATCCTCAACATTTACCTGTGTCTTATGCAAGATCCAGTGGTATATGATGCATGGTTTAGTCCCAACCTACAAGTATACAGTTAGCTAGGAATAGGATGACATTTTTGCTTATCGTTTATACTTTTATTGTTCTCACTAAAATTGATAGCTGTTCATTTGAGAATTTAAAATAAAGAATGTTGGGCTGGTGAGATGGCTCAGTGGTCTAAAGCACCTACTTAGAACAAGCTTAGCAAAACACAGGGACCACGGTTCAGTCCCCCAGCACCACATGCCAGCCAGCCCCACCCCTTCTGGGCTGAGCTGGCCACACACACACACACACACACACACACACACACACACATAAATAAAATTAAAAAAAAAATAAAGAATATAAAGGAAGTTTAACTTTGGATCTCATTGGTTAGCATTCTCCACTGTCATGTTTTCTATGTAGGGTTGTATTTGTATTTAAGCATAATGAAGTGAAAGTCAGTATAATAGGATTTATATCTTAGAACAGTTTGTGTGTTGTGGTATATAAACTCAAGATCATTTTCTTTGGGCTGAGTGTGGTGGTGCACATTTGTAATCCCAGCATTTGGGAGGTAGAGGTGGGAGGATTGGTGTTAGTATGAGGCCAGCCTAAAGTACATAATGAGACCCTAAAAACAAATAAATCATTTTCTTTGGGCACCCTGTAAGAGCTCTCTGAAGAGGGTGAGAGCTGAGATGCACATCAAATCACGGGTGAAGATTGAGCACATTACATAGAGCCTCTCCGATGGTGTTTCTACACTCCCTTTATTCATCTTTATTATTATTTTATTTTATTTTAGGTATTTAGTACAGGCTCTCCAGTGTCTCACTATGTACATTGGACTCGTAGTGATCCTCCTGTTTTCAGCCTCCCAAGCGCTGGGATCACAAGCAGGCACCAGGGCGCCCAGTGTCAGTCACCTTTTCAGCATGCCCTAGGGGACAGGCCAGCACAGCATGCTGGGGATTGAATCCCTGTCCCTGTATCTGCCTAAGCAGTTGCTTTAGTCCTCTGAGCTAACTGGCCAGCCCCCCTTTATTCATCTTTACTTTCACAGGAATATGTTGTGCTTACATATTCCAGAGAGGTAGACATCTAATTGTGATGCCCTTGAAACTTTCCACTTTGCAGGGTAACTTTATACTTGTTTTATCCTTTTTTTTTTTTTTTTACCTGGGATTGAACTTAGGACCTTGTGCTTGCGAGGCAGGTGGTTGTGCCACTGAACTATCTCCCAGGCCCTTTATTTCTTCTTTTATTAAGAAAATTGGACTGGGGGCTGGGAGATAGCTTGGTGGTCTAAGTGTATGCCTGGCAAACACAAAGACCCGGGTTCGAGCCATGTTGTGTGAGCCCTGTGCTGAGCCGGCCACTGAAATCAGGTTTGGTGATGCACTCCAGTAATCGTAGTGCTGGGGAGGCTGAGACAGGAGGATCACTATAAGTCTGAGCTTTGTAGCGAGACCCTGTACCAAATAACTAACTAAATAAATAACATTAAAAGAAAAAAAGAAAATTAGACTGAAAAAGAACGTTGCTGAGATGATTATAACTTTTTTCTCTAGGAAGAAATTTAGTTAACTCATTGCCTTTTTGTTTATATGTCTTGCCTTTTTGTTTATATGTCTTGTGTTTATAATAACTTGTCTTTTCATAAAAGTTTTAATATTACTGAGAGCTGCTTGATTTATCCAGCTTCGAGTTCTATTTCTTGGAGTGGGGCCTATCGTTAGTGTTAGAAGAACCATTGTCTATCTTTATATCTTCTATTTGTTTCTTTTTCAGTTTGGGCCACATATGTTGAAGTCTACAGGAAAAATGAAGGCTCTGATTGAAAATGTTTGAAACTTCTGATGGACAGTGAGCTGAGAAAGACTATCGTGGATCAACTGTTGTTTTATAAAGGCTGAGTTTGGCTAGTAGAAATCAGCACTATTTAGTAAATACCTGGCTTTAGTATTATTCATTGGTTTCTTTTTTAAAACTAATTAGGGGATTAAGCAATAATAAGAGCATTATAAGTTGGGTTCTGACAATGTTTTTGATATATAACTAGAGTGTTCAGATTTTCAGTCTTGAAAACATTTATAAGACTTCAGAACATAGAAAAGACATTTGTGATGTTACACATTTTAAAATTTTTAACACTAATTTATCTGTATAAAAGTTTTATATTTATATATCTGGATATAAAACAGTTCATGCAGAAATTAATGATGGCAGTGAGGGTAGTATTATCTTCATTTTCAAGAATTGTTTACTATTCAGTACTAGAACAGCTGGTGTAACCTAAGTTATTAAGTAAAATAGTGGAAATTACAATCTTTTTGCCTTGAGTAGAACTTACATCTTAGATTTTGCCCATGTTCAGAGGCAGGCTTTGCATAGGAACTGGATGATGTTTGCTGCAGAGATTCCTTAATGCTTTCTATTAGAGTGAAGTTCAGGACTAGAAAGGCTTGCTTGTATCTCATTGCCATCCAGTGTTGGGGAGACAATATAGTTCCAAGTAGTAACAAATTATTGAATTAAATTACTTTTTGGTAAAAACCAGAATAAATTATCTTGTTTGTTTTCTATTTAATAAATGGCATCATAAGGTTGACTTACTGCTGAGTTTATGATATTTCTGGAATTGTCAGTATAATAGAGTTAAAAATTTTAAAGTATTGGTCAAAATATTAATGCTATTTATAAGGAAACATTAAATAGTTGAATGACTGTCCTATAAAATATTGTTGGTCACAGTGCTGTTTCGAGAGTTACATTATGCAATATAAACCTTGGGTCCTATTAGAAAGTAGAAGCTGAGCGTGGTGGTGCATGCTTATACACGCACTCAGGAGGCTGAGGCAAGATGACTGCTATGATCTGGGCTACAGAGTGAGTTCAAGGCCAGCATGAATTACATAATGAAACCATCTTAAAAAAAAAAAAAGTGGAGAACTGTAGCCTGCACAGCTTAGTAAGACCTTGTCTCAAAATAGAAACTCCTATTTTTCTTCTAGGGCTTGTTAGGACTTGCTCTAAGTGACCATTTAAAAATGCTTAATACATTTTCATGACTTTCTGATAAACTCGGCCATAGTTCATGTCGTAGTTACTAGCCATAGTTAATCTGCCTCCATAAGTAAACATTGGATTTATTGTTTAAATCTGTTGAAAAGTTGTACTTCCTGGGAGTATTAAGAGATGGGAAGGTAGGTAGACATTTTAAGTTATTAAAGTACATTGTTCTTTTTTATGTTCTTATTTTTCATTGTGATAAAGTATACCTGGTATAAAATGTCCCATTTTGGCCATATTTAGGCACACAGTTGCGCCACTGAGCCCCTCCATACCCTGTGCAGCTAGCACTGCTGTTCACCCCACCCTCCTCATCTCTGCACCATTAGATACCATTCTACTCCCCTATCCCCTGGCCCTGGTTATCTCTGGAGTCTCCTCAGAGTGGGGTTACGTGGGACCTGACCTTTGGGGGACTGGCTGTTTTTTGGCTCATTGCCAAGTCACCATGTGGCATGACATCTACCAGTTCTGTCCATCAGTTTGTGGATGTCCCGTGACGTTTTCCTCTTGGCTGTGTGAATCACATGGCTGTGAACCACTGGTGTGCAAGTCCCTGTTGGAGTCTGGGTTTTCATGCTTTGAGGCCTGGACCTGTCATGGAAGTTTGGCTCTGTGTAGTTCTGTGGTCAGCTTTGAGGAGCTTCATGATCTTCCCAGCTGTGCCATTCTGTGCCCCACTGCTCTGGTCATCATTACCATTTGTCATCTTGTGGTGGCTTGGTGGCCTTTGGAGCCCTTGGAGGAGTTGAGGAGGTATGCTGGCGTGGCCCTTGTACATGCTTGTCTCCCTTGGGGAACCCTGTCCCTGGCTCCCATCTGGTCCCTGGGTCCCTACCAAGGGATCCAGATGTTCAGACATGTTGTGGGTGGGGTACAAGGGGTCTCCCCCTGAATCCAGACTTGCTAGGTGCAGGTCCCTGGCCCTGTGCCTCCATCCCCACTCCAGGGTCCTGTCCTCTTCCTAATGTGATTGTAATGAGGGCTGCTGTGAGGTGGGACATGTTTTATGGCCTCAATGTTGTTCTAAATAGTATCAAAGGTATGTGACATAAATTACTAGTAGGTTATTTAGCTTAAATTGGAACTGTGGAATGTTTCTAATTGTGTTTTTTCTTTTTTTATGGTTGAAATAGTGTGCCTTTTAAGAAATTAAAAACATTCACCTTATATATTGTGACCTCAGAAACTTTTATTTGTATTAGTATTGAATTTTGGCTAGTGCTCCAATATAAGTGTCTTAGTTACTCTTCTCTCGTTGCTGGGACAAATACCCGACACTCAAAATGAAGGAAGGAAAGGTTTATTTTAGCTCACAGTTACTGGAGGTTTCAGTCCATGCTCAGCTGGCTCCAAGGCAGAGTGTCACACAGCAGAGGGCAACCTTTCACGGCAGCGGCAAAGAGCATGCCCGAGCTCAAGAGAAGTACCAGCAGCTCAAGCAGCTAGCTTCTCTTCCCTCCTTATATTGTGATGCAAATTACCTGCCCCAGGGCAGGTGCAGTATCCACACCCACAGTAGTCAATCACAAACTCTAGAAGCTGCCCCAAGACTACATGAGGTGTTGAGGGGGACATACTAGACACAAACAGTAAGGAAGTAACTATTTTAAAACAAAGCGGACTTTTTTCATTCTCCATGGACAAACCACTTGTGTATTTTTTTTAAACTAGGTATGACTTTGACATTGCATATGTTGCCTCTTTCAAGTGGAAATACATTCCTTAAAATGAGTTGTATTGCTTGTCATTCACTCTTTCTCTTAAAGAGATCCTGTATGTAGGCTAAGCTCTTCGTTGATCTTAATGCTTTGAGAATAGAATAAAACTAGCACGACCAAATAAGGACCCAGAAATGGTAATATAGTTCCCTATGAGACTGATCATAGTTCACAAGGGGCCTTAATATTGCTACAGCTGTACCTTTTCAACTTTTCTCTCTTGGTAAGATTCTCTCAGGCTCCTTATAAAGGTCAGAGGGCTCAAGTAGAACATGAGAGTAATTCTCAGGAGGTAAATGGTTGTCTTAGCGTAACCCTTAGTTGCTTTTTCATAGCGGAAAGAGCCTTAATTAGAGGAGAAAGGACAGCTCTTCACAATAGGATTTTTATTGAACATATAATTAGTTTGTATTAATGTTGCCTAATGGCCATTGTTCCTCACTAGCCAGACATGGTACTTATCAAAGGATGAAGAAAGTATACATCCAAGGAATTAATGTTGTAGAAGCTGCTATCATCTTAAGAGTAAAAAGGATGACAGCTAGGATATAGTTGGGAAGTCACTGTAAAATAATGGTGTTAACATCAGGGCTACTTCAGTATATAAGGTGATGTTGGGGGTCAAGTTACACAGATATCTTTATCCTTGGCCTATCCTGCTGCCAAGTGAAACTCCTGGTAATGCAGACTGTGTGGCACCCTAGTACACAGCCTTGGTGAGCTATTCCAGTTAGGTTCTCCAGGAATCTGAATTAGGAAACCTGAAGAAAGTGAGGCAGTTAGCTCAAATATGGATGTCATGAGGTACAACTGAATCTGTAGATTTATATAGACACTATGAGGAAAAGAGTACTCACAGCACCCATTGACTTAGCACTTACTGTCAGTACATACTATAAGAGGTAGGCAACTTGCAGGTTAGAAAGCCACTGAAATGTGGGAAAACGTGCTGAGACTCAAGCCAAATCTCTCAAGCCTTAGAGACAATGCTTTTTTTTTTTTTTTTTTTTGAACTGGGAACCAAACTCAGAACCTTGTGCTTGCCAGGCAGGTGCTGTGCTGTTGAACTACATCCTTGGCCCAAGACAGTGCTTTTTGAAAAACCATAGTATATCTACTGTCCAAGCAGAAATTGCAAGATAGAAAAGACATGGAAGATGATTAGGAGGTAAGAGTAGAAGAAAGCAGATGCATCAAGAAGCTCCTTATTACAATGTCTGGATCCCAGATTCTGCTTCCTGAGGCAGTCTCACGAGTGGTCTCAAGGCTGGTGAGATAGCTGAGCGGACTAAGTGCTTGCTTAGGGAAGTGCAGAGACCAGGGTTTGATCCCTGTTACCTCATCGGGCCCTGCCCCCAGGCACTCTGAGCTGGCAATGGAGTCCAAGCGTGGTATGCCTGTAAATTCCAGCACTAGGGAGGCAGAAAACAGGAGAATCAGTACAAGTCTGAGCTGTAATGAGAATCTGCACACACATGTGCACACATGCACACACATGGTTTCCATTATCATGTATATTCAAAACAGAGCCTGCTATCTGAAATAATCAGAGCAATGACTATTAGAAATTCGAAAGCTGTGTTCTGCTGGGTGTGGTGACACAGGCCTAGAGGCAGGACTGCCAGAAGTTCAAGGCCAGCCTGGGCTGCAGAATGAGTTTAAGCATAGCTAGACCCTGTTTCAAAAAAACAAAAATTTTTGTTAACTTTTCATTTACCTTTTTAATTTGTTGTTGTTGGTGGTGTTGGAGATAGAGAACAAGCACAGGATCTCCAGGATGCTAGCCAAGCACTAAACTACATGCACAGCCCTACACCTAGGAATTTTAAGCACTGTATTAAATATTTGTGTAACAACTTCCCCTTATTCCTGTGTTGAAACCCAGGACCCCTACTGGGATGGTATTAGAAGTAGGCCTTTGTAAAGTAATTAGGCCTGAAGTTGGAGACTCCATGATGGGATATATATATATATATATATATATATATATATATATATTATATATTTTATTTTTTTTAAACAGCTAATCCTCTCCTTCCATGAGCCACATGAGAATACAACCTGGAATTGGCAAAATCTGTCTGCAACTTGGCAGGTCTTCTCCAAAACACAAACATTCTGACACTCTGATTCCTAAATTCCAAGCCTCCAGAGCTGTGAAAAAAAAATAGCTTTTGTTTTTTTATCTGTAGCAACCTGAGCAAACTAAGATAACCATGTTTACTGCCTTCAAAACTTATGTAAGTTTTACAAATTTCAGTTAAGATAAAGAATATATGTGAGCAAGTCTCACTTTATAGGACACATCACAAATGTAGAAGTATTTCATATTTAAATTCAAAAAACTCAAATGTACAGCTTAAAGTACAAGATGGAATTTATTAACAAAGACTATTGATGGGATTAATAGAAGGCTTAGAGAGATTAAGTCATTGTTTTCAGTAAATTACCTAAGTTACTGAAGTTACCTAAAAGCCAGTAAATCTAATACCAAAAACAAGGGTGTTTTTCTTTGCCATCTTACTTTTTTTTTTTTTTTTTTTAAAATTTTTTTGCAGAACAGGGGATTGACCTCAGGCCCTTGTGCTTGCCAGGGAAGCCCTTATTCCACTGAGCCATCTCCCCAGCCCCATCTTCCTAAGTTTTAAAATGGGCTTTAGCACAATTTGCACATTATAAGTATAATGTTGTAGAATGTAACTGATAAAAATTAGTACTTTAAAAAGTATACTGAAGGGGCTGGTGAGATGGCTCAGTGGTCTAAAGCACCTACTTAGGAGAAGCTTAGCAAAGCCCAGGGACGGTGGTTCAATCCCCCAGCACCACATGCCAGCCCGCCCCGCCCCCTGGTGGGCTGAGCTGGCCACACACACACACACACACACACACACACAAAAATAAAATTTTAAAAAAGTATACTGAATATTTAAAACTTTTAAAATCATATTTGAAAGCTAAATTTTTTTTTTTTTTTTTTTTTTTTTTTAGAAAAATTAAAGAATGACTAGAAATGGCATTTTCATCATTAACCAAGCCATTCTTCTAAACAGTACCCCAGTGCTTTAGTCATTTTGTACGGTATGGAAACCAGCCATATTATATAACAAACACTTTGCAAAGTGTCTGTCCCTGAAATTTTCAAGCCTAGAGACTATGTTTAATAATCTTCAGTGCCCTTTTCTATCCAGTGTTCTTTATATACACCAGGAACTCACATATTGCTTACCATGACTTCAGCACAAATAGTTATGAAATAATGTCTTTAAAAAGGGAACACATTAACTCCATATTAATTTGTTCAACAAGAATTTATTGATGACCCAACTTACATCAGCCCTATGTTGAACATGGGAACCAGGAAGACAGATAACCCAGTAGGCGCCGTTTGTCAGTTCACCCCCAAGTAGTGGTCATTCCTCCTACAGATCCTGGGCTTAGGGTCTTCCAAATGACACATGCTGCAGGCCTTTAGCAAGGAATGACTGCAGATTAAGTCTTGTCCATATTTACCCTGTTTTAAATATATGTTGATGCTATGGTTACTGGCATGTACATTACTTTAATAAAAGCAGTATAAATTCATTATTGGCCAATATATATATTTTGGCAGCTGGCAGACACAATTAGAAGGGAATTTAAACAATATACATTAAAATATTTATATGCTTGAAGACAGTGGAAACTGGATTTGAAAATTTTAAAGTTTTAAGAAAACAGTTTAATAAAAGCCAAGAAAGCATTGAGGAAAATTAAGAGACTGTTTTCAGAATCCTGAAGGAATTACTAGCACCTCTTTAACCTGTACCTCAGGTACAAGGATATTTTCCAGGTTTGCAAAGACATAAAATGTAGTTTTTACTTTTATACAAAGAAGATCTTTAGAAACCACGTTGACAGTGAGTACAAATATTGACAAGGAACCAATTTTTATTGTTGAACTAGGATGTATCAAAACTCCAAGGATTTTTACCCCTAAGGCAGAGATTCCTTCACCACTACAGTGTTGGACAGAGAACCCAAAGTGGCTTCTACATGCTCCACAGTTATTTGAAATTTGTTTTATCTTGAAACTTTATATGAATTTTGCATTCTGTTCAATAGTATTTTCTTACTTTAAAAAATGTGATCTTCTAAATTTTTAACTTTCAAAGTTTCTAGAAAAGTCAGTGTTGAAGAAAGATGTCACATCTAAGAAACAGGACAGCAGAATGTGATTCTCACATATACATAGTACAACACAACTTTTCATTGGGTTTATTATATGTTCAGGCAGAATGATGGAAGCAACAGTGAAGTGTCCCTGAGAATATGCAAGTAGGAAACTCATTATGAAACTGTAAGACAGAGTAAGAAGTAAGCAATCAAACAGGCAGGATGGAGCGCAGACAAGTTCAACTGAAACGCGGCTGAAGGTATGATGTGTCTAATGGAGTTGCCCATCAGAAGCTAATGTGGAGGAGCAACTCTTGGCAGAGAATCTCTAGCATCATCCGGGGAAGAGAGTACCCGGGTCCACAGACATGGTAACAGCAGATGTGTCCCCATAGGGAGATAGATGGATGAGGCAACTTGCTTCCCTTGCTCAGAATCCTCGCTCACCCAGTTCATACTTTTCAAGAAGATTTGCCTAAAAGAAGAGAATGGTAGATAGTTAAATTTGTCATTATAAATTAAACTATTGATACTGTCTTTTAAAATTACCAGTTACTTTTGGTTAATGTGAGTATGCCCTGAGGTCTACTCTCCGTGCACTGACAAATGGTCTGTGAGCCTGTAAGACTTAACACTAAATTTGCCATGCTGTCACTCCATATCATAAAAGTTGTTTTTGCCTAGTAACACTCAGCTCTGTTACCTTCAGACCTCTGTACCTATGCTGTCTTACATGGGTGCTACTAACTACATGTGTATATTATGTACTTGACATGTGGGTAGTACAAATTGAGATGTGCTGGTTGTGTAAAATAGATACTAGATATCAAAGACCTCTACCAAAAACAAAACAAAATCTTGTTTAAACTGACTATTGAAATGATACACTGTTTTGCCTATATGGCAATAAAATGTTACTATAATTGTTTATTTTTTGTGTAGTTATTAGAAAACTGAAAATTACTTAAGTGGTTTTTATTACATTTCAATGAAATGAAATGAATATGTTTGACTCTAAAGTTTACACCAAATCCCTTCTAAGGAATTAGTAGCCCTGGGAAAATGAATATAGGAGAGGCCTAATGGTATTGTTCTTACATCGATAGCAACCCAGAATTAATTGCTTATTTCATATTCCCTTTAAAAAAGCCAATGACAGAAATAAATACAACTAGTATTTAGTGCTTGCAAGAGGTGATGTCTTGCACAGTTCCCAGTTGTGGGAACCAGGGGCTGTGCAGTCTGGGGCTTGGCTCAAGCTGACCTCTGAGACATACTAGTCAGGACTGCAGCTAGGGAACCAGGGCTCAGAGCGCATATTCGGAAGGTGCAGATAATGGCGGAAAAACCCCCAGGACGGTCGGTGCCTTGTACACAACTGTGACTGAATAAACCTCTGACGAGCAACTGCAGAGCTAAACAGCTAACTCTGAGTTACTTGTCATTTAATACTGTGATTTCCAAAGGATTGAGTTTTAAGGTAAATATCAAAGATAAAAATGTGAAAAGATATGTTTTTATTCATCAAAAGTTAACAGCAACAGGCACATATTAAAATGAGTCTGGCAAAGCCTTACAAATGGCTTTACACTCAAGCTTCTCCCAAGAAATGGCTGTTGCAACAAACTGTAAACATAATTAATAAACAGTCTTTTACAGTAACAAGGGAAATACAAATGAACTAAAAGCACCGGTTTCTCTTAAAACTAGATTACAGTTGTGCTTACTATACATAAAACAATTTAAAACAAATTACAAAAGTGGAATGTTTTAAGTTTAAAATTAGTCCTTAAATTTTGTTCTAGAAAACATTATTCACATCAAAAGGCCCATCAGAAGGTAACGTTTCATCAAGGAGAGGGACAAGAAAACAATGCACTTTTTCAAATCAAAACGAGAAGTTTGGTCACTTAGCTTTGTGCATAGTTTAAGGCAACTGGAGCAATCTGTTACAGCTTAGCTACCATCCCCTCCCCCAAGTGTGGCTGCTCATTATGTCACATTGTAAAATAAATAAAAGCATACATTTCCAATCTTTTCCCACATGGATAAACATGACACATGCATAGTCACACATCACACATGCACAAACGAATGCAAACACATTCACACATCCACACACAACATACCTCTCACTCACTGCAGCGAAAGGGACTTTAGTACCCTTGATCTGAAGGACACACTTCCCCATCCCACTTTATTTCAGATTGGCAAATACCCTGAGCTGATTATGGTGTTTTAAACATTCCACCTTTTTCTTGCATGTGCAGGTCAAGTGTACAGTAGTGAAAACAACATGCAATGTCTTCACTGCAGAGTCATAATACAGCTAGGACATTGGTGTTTTTCCCCTCCCGCCCCAAATTAAAAACTAACAGTGAAAAAAATTTGCATTGCCAAACAGCACTGGAGTGAAAGCTTGGCGGTACTCTTATGATAAATGCTCAGCTTCCAGTGCATAAAATAAAGTATAGCAAGTGGGAGGCTTTGGTGGCATCCAAAGGAAGGGGAAAAAAGGCAAACTGGGGGAAAGAGCTGCAGTCTAAAGTTTGATCTTTAAATTTTTTTAGTGGTTCCTTCACAATCATGCTCCAAGGCAATTTAGAACCAAGATTTTCAGAGTTGATTTGTAAACATTGAGTCTTGCCAGAGGCAGCAGAGGCTGGGCACTTCACATTTCCATTTTCTCAGAGAGAATTTAGTGGAAGATACAGACACACACTGTTGCATCAGACTGGCTGGATTCCAAGAGATTGCTGCTGAAATATTCAGTTCAAGTTTCACAGTTTGAAGGAGTTTGAAGAACGAGTTTGAATATTTTGAAAAGCACATGGCACAACTTGAGAAACTTCCTTTGTTATTCCTTTCAAGTTCTCCTGCTGGGTTTTGCATATTCAAGGTTTCACACTAAAGCCAAATGCATATTGCTGTAAGTTCAGGTCTTGTAATTAAAAAGGAGGTTCAAATGATCCAACAGAAGGAATCTTGGAAATAAATAATGCTGGCATTCACTTGGAAACCTTGGCAGTCAAGAGTAAGTTCTCTCACCTCAAGACCCCATTTCACATTTCTAAAAACTTCCAGGAGGCAGTTTGTCCCACTGGTTCAGGGGTTAGGATAACCGATTTTCCTGAGGTAATAACTGTGAGTTCAACTGAAACGCAGCATCAGTGTCCTCACTGCTAGACTGCTCTCTCTGCAGTCCTTTCCAGCTGGCTTTATTTAGCCCTACATGTCCAAGCATTGTCTGAGATAGCCGTGTATCTGAAAACCTGGCCCATTCTGTAAATAAAGGCTCCACTAGGTAAGTCATAAAACCTTGAGAAAGAGAAAATAACTGTTAATACATGTTTTGAAACTTGTCTTTAAAAAGCACTTAGTGATAACATTAAGACTTACTCCAATATTATTTAAAATCTAACTTTCCCAAAGATTCAATGTGTATACATATAATTTACGTTATCTTCTCTGAAAAATTTATTTAATTCAGTGGGATGTTAAAGGTAAACTGGTAAACATCAAATCCTTTTTAATTATTTCTGTCAGCTGAACAACCACATTTTTCTACTTAAGCAGACATACACTGGTCCTAGCAACTCCTCAAGGATACTAAAGACATAATTCAAGGGACAGTTGCAGGAAGACAAGAGGAAGCACGGACGGGTTCTACTCCAGGATGTGGGCAGTAAGATATGCACTGCAGCGAGCTGCTTCAAGCATGGTTTATCCCCTCAGGGACCCAAGTCTCACACTTGGTCATGATTACAGTGGAATGTTTTATGGAACTCAGAGTTTATAGAGCCAAACTACTGAAAAGAATTAAACTAAACAGAAAAGAAATTTAAGAAATTGAACTCAACACCAAAATTGTACTACAGTTTTATTTTACAAACAACTTATATATTTTATCTGACTTAATACTAGTGTCTTACACAGGGCCCAGAGAACCATCCTAGAACAGCTGATCAATCAAATAATAATGTAAACTGGGAACAAATACATCATTATCCTAAAGCTCTTATCACTGCTTATTTAACAGTTTAAAAATAATTTTAATTCTTCATTCAAGACTTTATAGCAGAAGATCACTGGATGACAGATAACATGGGTTCCATTCAGTCAACATAGAATATAAATACCACTGGATTTAAAGTAACTAGCTCATACTATAGGAAAGTCATAGTGTTATAGTTCTTAATATATTTAGGACAGGGTCTATAGGGTCTACAGATCTCACTACGTAGATCGGACTCATACTGATTCTCCTGTTTTCAGACTCCCAAACACTGGGATTACAGACGTGCACCACCATGCCCAATCTCAGTCCTCATCTCAGGGCGCCCTAGGGCAGGGCCGGCATAGCACACCGGATATCAAACCACTGAGCTCTGTCTAAGCAGGCACTTTAGTCTGCTGAGCTATCTGGCGGACCCAGGTAGCTGGGTCATTCCTTTCACACGCATTAGTGGAGGACCAATAAGCCAGGCACTGTTCTAAGGAAGCTAGAATACAGCAGTGAAAAAAGTCTCAAAAATCTCTGCTCTCAAGGAGTGTATGTTTTAGTGACGAGCAAACCAATACAGAGTGTCATTACTATAGTCAAAGAACAGAGCAGTCTTTGTAACACTGCCATATGCTGTTGATCAGCAGTCATTTCAGAGTGCCCTTCAGTTAAGTCCTGAACAGCTAGTGTTCTTATTATAGACCTTCTTTTTTTTTTTTTTTCCGAAACTGGGGATTGAACTCAAGCCCTTGCACTTGCCAGGAAAGTGCTGCTTCTACTGAGCCATCTCCCCAGCTACCTTATTATAGATTTTATAGGATTTATCTTACTTGACTCTGTCCACTATCTCACCTGGCTAAGATCTTTCAGGGATCTCTTACTTCCAACAAATGAGCTATCACTTTGGGCTCTGTGTTATTTCATTTAGATCTTATAAACTTAATAACAATGCATGTGCCACAGTAGAGCCAGCTGCATGGGGTGACTATTATACTTAGGACCTCACAGCTGCTCAACCATCTGTGACTCAGTTGTACCAGTCTCACAATTCAGTCTGCACAAAAATCACAGGGTTCTTTACCAATCAACACCTTACTCTTACTCATTACTTGTTCAATAAAACTAGTATGCTTATCAAAGAAGGAAATGTTAAACATGACTTGTAATTACACTATGCTGCCTCTGAGTAACCTCTGAGTAGTTAAGAACCTGGGATAGGACAGTAGAAGCACCTGTCTAAAGCAAGCCCTAACACTTGTAAAATGCAAGTAAAAAAGGAGTACTGGAAGCAGCACTTGCCTCCTGGGCTAGTTGTAGGGTCAGCAGATGTCAAGTGCCATCATCATTTAGCTTATTTATCCCTGTCCCTCTGCTAACCCACTCTAGGAATGTCCGACACTGACAGGACCATTTTTCTTTTGGTACCAGAAATCAAGCTCAGGACTCTGCACTCACCAGGCAGGCGCTTGTGCCTGTGAGCTATATCACTGGCCCTAACAGGCCATTTTGAAGAAACAGTTTAATAAAGGATCTAACTTTTGCTCATTTAAATAAACTGTAATTTTTAAGAAGCTCATTTGCAAGTTAATGCATTACATTAGGGAGTAATTTACTCAGGCAAAAAGACACTTATGTAAAGAAGCTACCCATCATGGCGGCCAAATAGCTCAGCAGATTAAAGCACCTACAAGCAGGCGCAGGAGCAGAGGGCAAGCAGGCGCAGGGGTTGGGGGTTCAATTCCGGGGCCTGACATGCCAGTCCCTCCCTCAGGGGCATGCTGAGATGGCAATTGAGACTGGGCGTGGTGGCACAGGCCTGTAATCCCAGCT